AAAGGCAGTGTTTATAGCAAGTTTTAGAAATTACGGTTGTGGGTCATAATGCAAAATTTGACGGTTATATTTTTCATGAAAGTAGAGCTTCTTAAAAGTGAGGACTTCATTTTAGAAGAAATAACTGGGAAACAACAAGGCCGAAAAAATCTAGAGGTCATGCTTTCAGAGGAAGAGAAGCAACATGTTGGGTGGGTGGGAGGGGCTGGAGAGTAGAAATGCCCTGGGGACCCCACACGGAAATGGAAATGCGTGAAAATGGGAAAGAAATACTCAAACTGAACCTTGCAACTTAGCCAAATGTGAGGCAATTGTCTGGTCAGTGAGGTTACAGCTTCCGTGCATATCTGGAAGAAAGTAAGCCAGCACTGTATATGTTCAGGGAAGGAAAAACGATAACCTAGCTCTGTTTTGAACAAGGAGTTGGAGAACAAACTCAATATTTGAAATCAGTTTGTAGTTGATTTTCTCAGTTTGCACATGAGGAAGAGGAAGCTTTAGAATATGTTGCCTGAAGCCAACCCAGAAGAGGGTGGGTGTAGATGTAGGCTGCCAGTATTCTGCTATTTATATTATTACATATTACTGTAATACAGAATTATTTGAGAATTTCCTGTACTATGGCTTTGTTTCTCTTGGGATGATTACATTCTATTTGGATGACACACATGAAATTAATAAGATGTGATCCATTCAACTTCAGTATTACATTAAATATTAGTGTTATAACCTTAGAGGAGTTTCCCAATAATAAGATTTTGTGTTTTAGACACTTTCAGATTCTTACACTTGATTTTAAGTTTAATTTATAGCAGTGCTTACACTTAAAATGTGTTAGAGTGTAATTTACTTAAGCAATGTGAGCTAAATAGCCATAATTTAAGACAGCTTCATTTGGTCTTTTCAGGTACTCTTATCTGGTTAAGCATGACAAGTACATGGTAGCAAAACGTAAACTGGTAACTATATTAATATTCAAACACTATCAACCCTCTAATGATAGATTGCAAATAATTTCCTCATAGAATTACACTAATAGGTGATTTGTGTTTATGTAATAGATTTTTTAAAGATTTATTTGTACGAGAACTGGGGTACAGGCCAGATGTGCGGGAGGGTGAGAGTGTTAGGGGGAAAGCATGTCCTAAAGCTAATCCCATACAGGCTTTGTGGACTCCTCCCCCACCCCAGTCCAAAGCCATCAGGACATTGGGAAAGACAAATCCCATCACCACCAAAGGGAAGGTGGCTGGAACCTGAGGGTGGTGTTAAGCAGCCAGGTGTGGTATAAAACCAGACACGTGGACCTTGGGGGGTGGGGGTGGGGGTTCCCTTTTTGGCTTTCCGCCAGCTCACGGCTCTCTGCCAGCTCTCAGAGTGCCATTGGGTTTCCAGGTCGGCGGATCAGGTAGGATGCATTAAAGACTTTATTTCTCACTTTTCTCTCTGAGTTGTACATTTCCTCATTTGCCCTGCCCTTGTAAATAAACCTTTTATTAACCTTTTGTGTGCGCCTGCAGTGGAGTATTAATAAATCCCTTTTAAGAACACGGGTGAAGACCCACAGCCAGGCAACCTGTTTTATATCGGGGCTGCTCTGTAACAAGAGGGTTCACCAGAGACAGAGCGGGAAGCAGAACAGGCAGATAGACTGAAATACACCGCTGAGGGGAGCAGCGGGCTGGACAGGAGAGGTCTGCTGCGCCATGTGGGTATCTCTGCAGCCTGCCGGAGTGGAACCCACACTGCAGAGGCTGTGGACACAGAGCACTGTGCTCAGCCGCCTGTGCCACCAGGGAGGCCCTATGTAATATTTTTAAAATAGCCTTTTTCTAGGGCCTCCCCGGTGGCGCAGCAGTTGAGCGCTGGGTTGCGAAGCTGCCTGCAGCCTCAGCTGCGCCGGTTCAATCCCCGGCTGCTCCCCGGCCACCGGAGGAGGGTCCCGCATGGCGCGCAGACCTCTCCTGCCGCCCGCTGCTCCCCTCAGCAGTGTCCTTCGGTCCTTCTGCCTGCTCTGCTCCCCGCTCTGGCTCTGGTGAATTCTCTCACCCTCCCGCGCTTCTGACTGTACCCAGTGCTTGTATAAATAAATAAAAATAAATTTAAAAAAATAGCCTTATTCTAAAGGATCTGTGTGTCCTTAGAGTGGTTAATAGATTCAAGTGTAGTTACAACTTATTTGATACATGACTTCGGTTTGGGATTCAGGTGTACACAGTGATTCAATATTTGTAATTTATTGTGAGATCACTACTGTAATAAATCTAGTTAACATCCATCACAACAGTTTAACATTTATTTCCTGTGATGAAAACTAAATCTCTACTCTCAGCAACTTCCAATACACAATACAGTATTAACTAGTCACCAGGCTGTACATTACTTCCCCGTGACTTATGGATGGTACCGTAGCATTTTGGGGGCCATTACAACTTCCATTTCTGAGAAACCTCCAGCCCTTAACGCCACACACTTTCTGGAGGTAGGTAGTGAGCATCTCAAACTGAAATGGAATTCAGTGCAAAGCACTGCAAGCATAAAACGGTTGTCCTCAGTCTTAGAGCTATTTTAAAGCAAGGGGAAACCAGTGCATATGCAAATTTGTGCCTCCATCTTTAGAATCTGCCTCAGGTGAGTCAAGCACTGACTCAAGCCTGACTGGTGGTGAATGGCAGCAGAGTGACGGTGGCCTCACCATGTATTTCCATTTCCCGAAACTTCTACTGTTGTCGCAGACATCACTCAGCATGGCAAGTTTGACTTGAAAAAAAATGTCATCCTGGGTCTGTATTTTGAAAATTGAGATCACAGCCGTTCTCTCTGGGCTGTCAGCTGCAGGCTCTTAAAACCTTTCCCTGGGGGAGCTTGTCAGTGACACAGAATGGCAAGCCCCAGGCCAGACTTGACGAAAAAGAATTTTCATTTTAATAAGATGCTCAAAAATTGATTCATATGTATAGAAAAATCGGGAACTTGAGAACACTTGGCCAAAGCACAACAAAGAACGTACCTTAAGGTACGCAAGCCTCCTCTTCCAGGCATAATGTACAAATATGGTGATTATTTAAAACCAGTTTTGCTGACAGGATGGTTGTGTCCTCTTTCACAGGAAGGACGTGCAAAGCATGCAGAAGTAATGAAACGTACATCAAAACATACAAAGGCAGTTCCCAGCATGTCTATCCTGCTGCGTTCGCTCACTCTGAAGACCGCGTTCGTTGGTCTGCTTTGTTGGCAGGAACCTGCTCGGCATGGACAGGCTCTACCCGGCAGAGGCCCTTCCAGCTGGGCCAGATAGACTTCTGGGCGTCACCACGTAGTGGACTCTGGAGGCTTACACTTGGGCCCTTTTTCTCACCGGAGGCACAAGCCTCATGCCTGGGTAGAAGGGAAGCGGGCGACAGGCAGCTCAAGAACAAGAGACCCAAAGCACCCCCAAAGTGCTTGTTTGAGGATCCATACCAGTAATTCCTAGTCCTGCTGACTCGGGCCCCACCCGGCACAAGCCTGGAGTAAAGAGGGCTTTTTCAGAATGGTTTAAGGAGTCGGTAGACAAAAGCAGGGCCCCTTCATTTGTCAGCTCCTGGGTCTTGAGAGTCAGGGGCTGGAAATCGGCTCTACCACTGCGACTCGAGCCTTCGCCCCAGCAAAGGAGCGTGTGGACTGACAGCATCCCAGGTCACCTTTCCAAACACCCTGTTCCTTCTCTCTGATGGGACAGTTTGCATTTTCCCTTTGAAGAGAAAAGGTCTATTTTGATGAAGTTCATGGCAGATGTGATACGAGGGGCTGAGGACACTGGAGGCTGTTGTTAAACTAAGCTGTGGGACAAATGCCTGAAGCGGCTGCAGAGACAGATCCACGCACCAGATCTTGGCTGTTTCCCTAGAGGAAGGGCTTCCGGGTGGTTTGAGGCTAACCAACCAGGTTCACATTATCCACCACTGCACGGAGAGTGGCGGGACATCCTGTGGCTGGACGGAGCCACCCCTTTGAGCCCACAGTCCCTCCAGTGGTAGAAGAGCTGTCAACTTCCAGGTCCTCCTGTTAATATATTCCTTGTAGTGCGGTCTGTATCAGACTTAAACAACTCAATTGTTGCTATGAGTATAGGAGAAGGCTGTAATACAAAGCAAGACCTCATATACACGCACATTACATGTGGTAGCTAATGTGACCCATTACGGTGGACATTAGGAATACGTTGATCCTGATACGGCCAGAGCAATATTGAGATTCTCTGAACATCATCTAGAAGATACTTACACATCTTACAGCGCCGGGGGGCATCCACACTTTTGCCTTTTATGGCTATGCTGTAATATTAAGCCACAGACTAATCCGGAAAGAACTCGATTATTAGAATCAGGCTGAGGGTGTTCTGAGTCTCCTTGGGCAAGCAGTTGGAGCTCTCAGAACCTGTTCCATTACTTAGAAAACGCTTTCATGTGGAGATAATAACACATATCAGATAGGAATGTTGTGGGAATTAAATGGATAAAGAAGTGTTGGACACCTGAAGCTAATATAACGTTATATATCACGTGTGTCCCAGTTTTGAAAATAAGAGCTAAGTGAGTAGTTTGGGGATTATGCAACACTATCTTTTTCTTACACTTGCATTTTGGTCATTATGTTTATTATGATGGCAGTTTATTATTCTGTTTATTATTCTCTTCATACAGGCGTTTGCAAAAGATGGGAGAGTTAGTGTAAGGACTGATAAAGACTTACTGTGGTGGAAGAAAATTGAGCGATTGGCAAAAAGAGCTTTAGGGTTATCTGCAAGTTTCCCTTAAGGCACTCATCACAATAGGCTGCAAAACTGAAAGACAATGGTATATAGAGAGTTAATTGGCATTCATTCTGTTCTGACTGCTGATAGATTCATGACAATGGAGTCATTGGCCTTTGAAACAAAGTAAAAGAAAATAGAGGAAAACAAGAACACAGTCCAATTCTGTGCGGGCTCAGTGCTTTCTCTGTACACTGACACTATGCCTACATCTACACACGCCACCAGAACATCGGAAGACCAACGACAGGACAGTATTGTTGCTATGCCAGGGTTGCTAAGATCTAGAAACAGTAAAATTTCCTTCTGTTGTTAGGAGATGTGTCTTGACGATTTAGTCCACCTAAAAGTTTTTCAATCGACAGAACTTCTGACTCTGCTTCTAGTCAGGGAGGGTGTCGTGGATGAAGATGGTGCTTTTCTCCGGTGCTCCAAGCACCGCACCCACAGGCTTCTGGAGAAGTAGCTCAAATCTCTTAGGCCCTTCCAGGACCGGCTCTTCTGGGTCGTCGAGGATGGTCACTTGCAGTGTCTGCACCTGGACTCCTGGAGCAAAGTCCAGATTTCGGCTGATGCCAACATAATCGACTCCAGCTAGCGGGAAAGGAACACCGAGCGTGAGGTCCTAGGATTCACTGTGACAACTTGTCCTCCGCAGGAAACTAGAGGGTGTTGTCAGCGATTTGAAAGCTGCGCCTCTCCCCAAAATCCCACTGCTCTCACTGGAGGCTCCCTGCAGGCAACTTCCCTTTGTAATGGAAGGACTGAGCTTGTAAACAAAAAGCTAACCCTTAACCATCCTGAATTTAATTTCACCAGGTTTCCCGCCTCCTCCTTGGCCGGGCATGGGGCTGAGTCTTGCACCACGCTGCTCGACCAGGACTTTCTCTCCCATGAGGTTTCTGCCATTTCTGGGTGATGAATCATTTTGCAAACTGGCTCACCTGATCCTGTAGTTTCTTTGCTGCTTACTTAAAAAATCATTCATTGCAATGATAACAAATTATAACCGGAGGAATAAAATAGGAAACTCCAAGTGATATAAATAGATACATAAGTAAGCCAAGGGGCAGACTATTTACATTGCCTAGAAAAAGCTCTGCATAGAATACTTAATTCATTTCAAAGGAAGGAAAGTAACCTTGTGGTGGAGAAACCTGGCAGACATCGCCCTAGCCGGGTGCTCGGCGTTTACAGGAACGGGATCAGCTGAAACCCGGCGCCTTTCAGTGTCATCCCTGAGCTACTCCCGTGAAAGGGCGTAGCCTGAGCCTAGTTCTGCAGAAGCAGCAGACAGGCCCCTTCTGGGGCGCCTTTCCCATGTTATCCATCATCAAGGTCATGAAAGCCAAGGAAGACCAAGGAACCAGATTGGAGAAAACAAAGCAGACGCGACAACAAAATAGCGTGAGTGACTCAGAACTGGATGCTTTTGCTACAGTGGGTTGGGGGCAGTTGGTGGAACAGGAATGAGGTCTAGGATTAGCCTGATGAGATACCAGGATGTCTTCCTGGCATCATGCTCATCCTGTGGCTAAACAGGCAAATGTCTTTTCAGGAAGTGCATTCCCGGTTTTCAGAGAGGCGGTTTCAAATCGCTGACAACTCACTCTCACAGGCCCGGGGATGGGCGGGCATTGGTTCAGCTCCCGGAGGAGCTTCACCGCACGTGTCGGTCTTCTGTAAGTTTGAGATTGTTTCATTCTCAACTGAAAATTTTTTGCATTTCAATTTTTTAACGCCATTAGATAATTCTATTAAGAAAAACAAAAGAAGATTATGGTGAAAAGCACAAGAGAAACAGGGTTTGGATCTTAGGCACATTGGTTCAAACCTTGATTCCCCCACTCTTTTGCACAAACTAACCTCTGAGTTTTAGTTTCTTTTACTGCAAAGTGGGGATAATTGTTGCTATCAGACAAGGTTGTTGCAGAGAGCAGGGATAACAGCAGGATGTGGGCACAGTGTCTGGCAAATAGACATCTTATACATAGAAATTATAATTATTTAGGTAACTATTATTTCATAAACATATATGCATGATTAGCACTGTTAATTCGCCTACTTGAACAGATGTCAAATATTTACCAGAATCTGGGTTCACATTCTCATAGATGAGTCTTTCCCTCCCCTGATGCTTTGTCTGTGGAGGTTTTTAGATTTCTGGACTTTATTTGCAGGATTTGTGCTTTTACTTTGCCCTTAAAATAGTCTCAGGAGTCCTGAACTGTGCTGACTGTTCATGACCCAATTGGCAAATGAGAAAATGGGGGTGTCAGCATAGATGGAAACATCCCTTTATTTTACTGCTGAGTCCTGGTAAGGTGGCGGACGGGCTCCGCAGAGGGCGCTGTTCTGAGCCCCCTAGTCCACTGCCTTTTAGAGGGGCTTGTCTGTAGCAAGAAAGGCACAAAGTGGGGGCCCAGGATGTGCTGCTTGCTCAGCCATCACAGGTGGACTTAGTCCAGAACACCCCGAGGAGCAGCTTCCAGAATCTGCAGATCTCTGAACTTGGGAAAATTCACTTGGGCTCCTAACAAGCAAGTGGGTGACAAACGCATCATGGAGATGGGTTACTTGGCCGACTGTGTCCTATTTACTTGGTAAACAGCAGAAATGATTACGCATGCAGCCCCCCTAGGGGCTCAGGTGGGGGAACCTTGAAGTCAGGACCAGTCAACCAAGACCAAGCACGTCACTCCTGACGGACGAGACACTGCCCCGCACGCTGTCCCCACCACAAGGCACTTTTGAACGGCCGCTCACCTTCTGCGGAGCCGGGCTCCGTCTTCCTGGACCGCACGGTGACGGAGGCCGCTTGGGAGAGGTCAGCGCCTGTCCTCCGGACACTGACCTCCACGGAGCCGGCGTGTCCATCCACGTGGTACTCGGCATCCCCGAAGCGCAGGGCAGGCTCTAGGGGCACAGAAGGACAGACCGGTCATGTGGCCACCTCCGGCCCACAGGCTCCCCCGGCATCAAAATCATCAGACTTGGCAACCTACAGGCTCCCAGGAACAAGACCAAACCCACCAAGGCCACGGCAAGAGCCACGTGCTGTGTCTCTGTAGCAAGGGCAGCGGAAAATCAGTTGGAATTTATGGGTTTTTTTTTTATTAAAAAATTTTTTGATTGTACAGAAGAAATGGCCAAGGGGCTATAACTCGGTCACGTCAGCTAGTGTTTGGGCAACAATGGTGTGAATTTAGGAAAGGCAACGATGGTGTGAATTTAGGAAGCCTTTCCTTGGGAGAGATTGTTCTTTTTGTTGAGGGACAGTCCAGCCAGTTCTGAATGGGGGGGCTGTGCCCAAGCCCATGGCGTTTGCTGACCACAGGGACAGACACACAGAAATCCCGAGGCGGGGGAAGGTTTCATTAGCTGAGATGCCAGCAATGCTACCTCCAGAGGCAGACACGTGCCCTCTAGAAAGAGGAGCCAGGGCAGGCTTGGTGCGGGGGGCTGGTGGAAGGGAAGCGGAACCCTCTAAGGGACAAGGGCCGTAGCAACGAGATGGGGAAGCCTTGGCCAGGCAGATCTGCCACTCAGTTCTCTCTGGCCTATGAGCTTAGCTCGGGACTCCAGCTGCACACAAGGTTAAGCTGTTACACTGAATACGCGGTCATGAAAAAGTTTGGAAATGGAGGCTTCTGTTTGCACTGAGACATCTGGAGGCAAAACCAAGTCCAGGAAGCAACTTCACCTCGGCTGGATGAGCCCCAAGACAGAAACGTGGAAAATCAAAGTTACAGAGATGCCTCCTTTGCAAATATGCTGCAATGGGGAAGCATATCTGGATTTAACCAAACTATCTGAAGGGTAGAAATCAGATGTAATAATTGTAATTTGCTCAAGGTGCTGGTTAGTAAATCTCTTCACGGCCTACGGTGGTTTCACTAAAGGTTTTACCATGGTGGACAAGACCTCTTAGGATATGATTTGATTCCATTTTTTTCTGGAATCACTGGGTGCCAACCCCACTTGTGTTTCAAGAGCACTAAAGAGCTTACACAGCACGCGGGCTCCGTCTTTACAGGAGATGTTCTCTGAGCTGGAATTCCCTTCCCAAGTGCAAACTTCACACACTCCTACTCATTCTTGAAGATAGTGATTAAGAGTTACCTGCTTTTAATCTTTAGGGCAGCCACATATATATATATAATGTCTTTTGGCTATTATCCAAAAGACAAGGAACAAGGAATGTTGGCGGGGCGCCCTTGGGCACGGTTGGGAAGAATATAAACTGGAAAGCAGTGGAGAGAGTTCTGAAAAAATTAAATATGGGCAATCATCTGATCCGCTATCTCCTCGGGATATTTACTCTCAAAATACAAAAACCCTAATTGGAAGAGATTTATGTGCTCCCATGTTTATCACAGTGATATTTACAGTAGTGAAGCACTAGAAATACTCTAAGCGCCCACTGGTTGATGAATGCATAAAGAAGATATGGTTTCTATGCCCCGTGAAATACTATTTGGCTATAAAAAGATGAATTTCTGACACTTGCAACAGCAGGCATGGACCTAGAGGAAATTACGTTTAGTGTAGTAAGTCAGAGTTTCATTTATAGGTGGTGTATAGCGAAAATAAATAACTGGATGAACCCAATGAAAATAAAAATTAACTTTTGGGCTCTAAGACCAATTAGGGGTTACCAGAAAGCAAGAGAAGTGGGGTGGGTAAGCTGGGAAAGAGGGGGCGATGGTGAAGGATTGAAATTAGACTTTTAATGGTTAATTTAATGAAGTTGATATACACGTTGATTTTCAATGATGAACACCTGAAACTTATATAATGTTAAGATGTTATTTCAATTAAAAAGAGAAATTAGTCAGCCTTTCCTCTGGGCTTAACGCTTGGAACCACACTAACTGCGGTGATGGTCCCGCTAGCTGGTGGCTGACTTCAGGTGCCCCGTGGGAGGGGCGCCCACAGTGGGTTGGTGGGGTGTCCTCTCTTTTCTTCTTATTTAGAACTTGGACTCCACCTCCCCAGTGTGGCTAACAGATGCTTTTGATACTTTCAAGTTTGGAAGGAGGAGAGGCAAGTTCTTCCTTCGTGTATTATCTTAGGGATCACACGGTCTGGTCTTGGAGGCTGGAGAAGAAGGATCCTGGGTCTCATGGACATGTGTGTGTTCTCAGGATACTTCTCAGGAGATGTCTGCAATTTCCTGAGAAGATTCATCTCTATCTGGGGTGGTGGTCTGCCCTCAACACATTAGCATTGGTGGGGCCTCCCTGGTGGTGCAAGGGGTTGAGCACCGCACTATGAAGCAATCCATAGCCTCTGCAGCACGAGTTCGATCCCTGGCCAGCCAGGGAGCAAATTACATGCCGAGCAGACCTCTCCTGTCTCGCCCACTGCTCCCCTCAGCAGTGTATTTCATCAGTCTGCCTGTTCTGTTCCCCACTCTGTCTCTGGTGAATCCTCTCACCCCCACACCTCTGGCCTGTACCCCAGCTCTTGTATGCATAAATACATAAACCTTAAAAAAAAAACCCAACACATTAGTATTGGTGCCGCTGCTGTTGAGGAGTGTTCTTCCCTCTAGATGGCGCTTTTGGACAAGCCCTAGACATGGCATCCTGGCTCTCTCTTCCAGGTGAGGCCGCATCTGGCCCACGGAGACACTCCAGCATCCTTTGTCCTGATGAACTTGGTAAACCAAGAAAACTGCCTATGTGGGCACAGCCCCTGCCTTTTGTTCATCTATCAAGGCGGCCAACCAGCTTATTGCCTGCAATGAGATGCTCCAGAGAGAGCCAGGCCCACGTTCACGGACCCCAGCACATTGCAAGTGAGGCACTTTACACTCCCCAGTGGTCTCTTAGAGCTGGAGATCAGATTTTTAAGTCCTGGGCATCCACATTGAGGTGGATCTGTCCTCAATGGTACGATCATTCAGCATGAAACAGATCCGTAGTGGGGGTATCAATTCTTGGGGAGACTGGCAGGGAGGTGAAGCTCAAGAAGACACAAAGATCCATCAGAGAGAGAATAATAAAGTCGGGAAAATCAAGGGAATAGAGACCTGTGGGAAGAATGAGTGGCCACCGTGGTGAAGACCTTCTGAAACTCTCAGCTGCTGCAAGTGAACATCGTGGCCAGGTTTGAAAACAACTGCTGTGAAAATGCTTCTGTGTCCGAAGCCTGTGCGATGTGCTACAACACAACCAGCCCCACAGAGCCGTGGGCCGCGCTTTCTTCCACTTTCCCGGATTTTACAGCCAAACTACATGTCTTTCAAGTTTTTGAGACATTTGTGTTGCAGTTTATCTTGGTCCACAGCAACAATATTAGCCACATTTGAAAAGTCGTTGGATGTGCTGACTTACTAAAATGACGCTTTGTTTCTGTGCACTTTTTCTTAGATCTGTCATTATTTCATAGATGCCGATTTAACGACGATTCTAACCCAGTTGCCACGTTCATGTGCAATGCTGACGTGCACTGTGCAAGTCTTGCTGCCTCAGCACAAAGCGGACACACTCTCTGAAGATGGGCATCAGTTCTGTTTTGTGGCGGCTTGCAAGAGGCGTCAAATCACATCCTACAAACCGAAAGGAATTTTTCAGTAGACAGGAGAGGCCTGAGATGAAGTGTTGACAAGGGTCTTCTGTTTCCTCTTGGCCTTGGCACCGGGCCCGTGGAAGATGGAGCCCACGCCAGGTACATACACACGGAGCCCGCCACGCACGCCTCTGCTGCCACAGTCTGTGGCCTCTGTGCTCGTGGAGCTGATGGATTCTGGGGGTTCCAGGGGTTCCAGTTGCTGAGTGTGGCCTGGATCTTTGGCTGTCAGGTCGCCTCTGCCCCTTACCTTTCTTAGCATTCCTTCACGCTGGCTGTTCAACAGAGGCATTCCTGTAGGTGGTGATTCACTTGGCAAGGGGATATTCTATCATGTTTAAGGAAGCAAAACCACCTCCCAGAGTCTAATGAAATACAATGAAAACATTTCATTCAATTCTAACCAGAAAAGAAATGTTTCGCCGAGAGTCACCTGGATGCTGAGTAGAGCCTGTAACACCCTCCTTTGATGACCAATCTCAGTTGTCTATGGTCATGAGAACTACCGTGAAAAGATTGAAATTATACACACAAAAAAGTCAAGTTCCCTTTTCCTTCTCTACTCTTTCCCTAGGGCAGAAAGATTGATGCTGATTCTTTCTCTACTGGACCTTACGTTGGTTAAAGTAATTCCCCCCGGCCCCCGCCACACACACACTCACACACACACACACACACACATACACACACACACACACGACCCTGTGATTTACAGAAGGGACTTTATTACTTGATATCGAGACAACAGAATCAGGAAAGGAAGCATCGCCCGAGTCATTGGAGCCCAGGATCTGTGGAGGCTGAGCGAGGACGAGGCCAGCGCCCAGGAAGTCCTCTGCCTTCTGCAGGTGCAGCCGATAGAAGCCCCAACGTTTCCCTTTCCTACCACTTAACTCCAAATAGTCAGAGGCAAACAGTTTGCTACTCGAAGGTGAGCAAAACTTCCCCTTCCACTCTTAAAATCTTCATGTGTGGGCCTCCCTTGGTGGCGCAGCGGTTGAGTGCTGGGCTGCGAGGCTGCCCACAGCCTCTGCAGCGCCGGTTCGATCCCCAAGCGCCGGTGAGAGTCCCATACACAAAAAAAAAATCTTCGTGTGCTCAGCATTCCTCACCCAGGCGCACTGCGTTGCCTTTTGTGTGTTCCTGGGGAGCCAAGCACGGCCTAAGGCGTTTCCTGGGGTAGGTTAGCCCTTCGGCTCACAGTTCTTGCTTTCATTGTGGGCGCTTTCATTTCTACGTGGAAGTTTTTCAACCTAAGTTTGGAAAAAGGCAACACCCTTTCTATTGCAAATTTTTGCCCACATAGGAAGCAGTGAGTAGGCAGTTTTCCTTTAACGTTCACTGGTAAACAGCTGGACTCTCTGTCCCTTCTGCATAGTCAGTGTGTGCCAGGTGAGATGACACTGAACCTGCGGTATGTGAAGAGGGTCAAGCCCTGCTGCTGCACCTGCTGGAGGTTACCTGGGGCGGGGAGGGAGGCCAATGCTCAGCAGCCAGCTCCAGGCCCCAGCACAGCTTTCCTTACTCTGTGACTCCATGTTCTGACTCGGCCTCTTCTCTCCCATTGTGTGTGTGTGCGTGTGTGTGTGCGTGTGTGTGTGTGTGTGTGTGTGTGTGTGTACTTTAACCAACCTAAAGTCCAGCAGAGAAAGTAAACAGAAAGAACCAGCATCAATCTTTCTGCTATAGGAAAAGGGTAGAGAAGGAAAGAGGAATTTGACTTTTTTGTGTGTATAATTTCGACCTTTCCATGTTAATTCCCCATGACCATAGACAATCGGGACTGGTCATGAAAGGAGAGAGTTGTTAGGGAGAAAAGTACGTAGAATAATGTAAGAAAGTCGCGGCCGACATCCCCTTGCAGCTTGCTTTCCTCACTTGACTTGGTTACAGCTTTTCTGTCTCTAGAAGCCAGTCCGGTCCTGTCTTTCCTGACCTCGGCACGAGTTAGGTGTGCTGCGTAATCCTAGCCATAACCCCCGATATTTACAAAAGCCTAATTTTTCTTTTTTTTTTAAAGTATTATTTATTTATTATTTATACAAGCACTGGGTACAGTCAGAAGCACGGGAGGGTGAGAGAATTCACCAGAGCCAGAGCGGGGAGCAGAGCAGGCAGAAGGACCGAAGTACACTGCTGAGGGGAGCAGCGGGCGGCAGGAGAGGTCTGCGCGCCATGCGGGACCCTCCTCCGGTGGCCGGGGAGCAGCCGGGGATCGAACCAGCGCCGCAGAGGCTGCGGGCAGCTTTGCAACCCAGCGCTCAACCGCTGCACCACCGGGAGGCCCCAAAAGCCTAATTTTTCAATTAGGTTTCAAAAACCATGTCACACCACAAAGGCATCCCCTCGGCGTGTCCGTCCTCTGTTTGCACTTCATGGTTATCAAACAACCTGACCAGGCAGTGATTTTTCAAAATTCTTAAACAGTTGGGCTGACTCACGTTCCCCTTCTGTCCCCTTGGGAAAATAACAGGGAATTCATGTACACGACAGTAAGTAACATCCTCTTGTCCAGAAACTCTGGCTAATCAAGATTAATATTCTCAGTAGACAGTCTCTCAGATCTCCTGTTTTATCCGAGGATATAATATAAATTCTAAACTTCCATTAAGGATTATACTGAAAATTCCTACATAATATTTTAAGACAAACAACTGTTATCTTAATTTGGATGGGGAAATTTTTGAAAAGTACACAGTGAAAAGCCCGAGGGTCTATATTTGTTCTTAGTCCTTGGCACTTGTGAAAATACGTCCTGGAACTGAATTGTCCTTGTTGATTTTTCTTTGTAGTGGAGCAAAACTGTCTGTCATGTCATTCTGAGGCCTGGTCTGCTGGGCGCAGTATCCACAAACAAACCTATTTAGGCGCCAAATGAACAAAAAACAAACACCAAACCACTTTTGGTCCCATTCCTATGCTCCCTTGTTCTCTGGTTGTTCCAAAGACGTCATTTCACCCAGAACAGTGTGGCACACAATGAATTTGCCAGATCCCACTGGAGAGTCTCTACCCCCTTCCAGCTGTGCTCCGCCTGCGTTGGCCTCTCGGCACGACTCAGTCTGGGGAAGCTCAGGGCTGTGTCCTGGGGCAGCCGCGCTCACTGATGCTGCCCCAGCAGCCCAGCCTCGCCTTGTCTGAATGTGAACACGGCGTCTCGCCACACTCAAATCCCGATGGAGGACAGTCAAGAGATGAAAACCGGTCAATTTAATTTGAGACTACAGTAAAGTATTTGGGTCCTGGCTTTGTCTTTATCACCACTTTCTCTTAAACGTGCTCTTTCTAGAAAAGGCCATCGAGACTTTGGAAACCAATACTGGATTTGGTACGGTCACAGCTAGGAGTGGAGGCTTGACGGAGAGGAGGGAGGAGCCACCCTCTTCCCTGGCTAAATGGCAGCGGGGCACCCCAAGACTGGAGGCCAATCTCCCTGCCAGGTAGGGCCAGGAAGAGAAGCCTGGATGATTATACTCGAGCCCTGACCCCGTTCCTTCGTACAGCTGGGAGGTGCTGATCTGATTGTGAGGGACACCCCTGTGCTGCTGCTGAGGGGCCCCATGGGGCCGTACAGGTTGGTCAACTTAGGTCCTCTTCTTGCTTTCCTGCCAAATCCTAGGTCATTTTCTTGGCCTTTGCTTGCCTCCCTCGCTCTCTCTCCTCCTCCCTACCCCCCTCCCTTCCTGCAATTTTTTAATTTTAAAGATTTATTTATGCATGCATGCAAGAGCTGGGGTGCAGGCCAGAGATGCGGGGGGTGAGAGGATTCACCAGAGACAGAGCGGGGAGCAGAACAGGCAGACTGACGAAATACACTGCTGAGGGGAGCAGCGGGCAAGACCAGAGAGGTCTGCTTTGCCTTGTGGTTTCTCCCTGGCCTGCGGGGGATGGAACTGGTGCTGCAGAGGCTGCGGATTGCTTCATAGTGCCGCGCTTAACCCCTTGCACCACCAGGGGGGCCTCTTCCTGCAATTTTTAAAAAATAAAGTCATAAACAAATACATAATCGTCCTGCACTGCCATTTTGTCCTTGGTGCTTGTGACATCTCTGTATCAGAAAAGTCATTCAAAGTCTTTGAAGAAAGAAGTATCTTTAAATTAAAAGATAATTTAAGCTAGCTTGAGCATGCACCTGGTGGGGAGGAGGGTGAAAAGAGAAGGGAGCTTCTGCCAAGAGTTGGAGCAGGAGATGGACTCACCGTCACCTCCATCGGCCAGGATCACCACCTTGGCGGAGGGGAATGTGGCTCCCAGCTGCCCTCCCACCGGCAGGCCCAGGGAAACGCTGAAGGATTCCTCTTCTTCATAGAGGGAGTCGTCGATGATCAGGACCCGGCAGAACTTCTCAACCTCGTCCTTGTCAAAGTGGAGGAGGCTGCTGTGGTCTTTTGGGCGTGAGATGTAGTCAGAGAGAGAGGACGCCGAGGAAGGAACCGAGCCTGTGGCAGAACCTACGGGAAGGTGAGGTGGGAGGGAGAAGAGATGCAATTCCAAGGAGGCAATCTTCTCCCCGTTCGGTCCTCAAGCTATTTTTTAGACACTAATTCTTTGAACCGAAGCATAGTCATCTCATACAGTCACAAACACTGATCTTGTAAATAGAAGGTTTTCAGAACAGACTCATGACCATTTAGGGGCTTTTGAATAAGGTCTATAGTGCACAGCATGCTAGTGCTGGCTCAGCCCAACTCATTACTGATATAGAAGGGAAAACAGATGCAGAGAAATGAGCACCAGTGAATCCACCCCCATGACAGGGGCATAGATTTCTCCCTGCCCCTGCCCTGCCCACAGTCACAGGGCTGTGAGGAGCATCTGTTTAACCTGACCCTTCCAGCTCGAGGGTTCTTTACATGACATCATAGTAGAGCCACAAAAATATTTTATAAGAAAAACAAAATAGATGAAAGGATTTCTGTTTAAATTCCGAGCATTTTAATTCTATGGCCATGATTTATGCACATAAAGAGTCACCATCTTAAGGGCACTACTTGATGAGTTTTGACAAAGAATCACAGTCAAGTCACCAAGACAGGTGCATTGCAGAGAACAAGCCCAAAAAAGTGTTTGATGTCCTTGAGGTGACCTCTCGTTGCACTGACAGGAAATAGCAAGAGGAGATAGAGCTGGTCAGAAAACAACATTCAGCAACGATCAGCTGTGTCACAGCTCTGGAGTTAGCAGAAGGCAGCCAATCAGATGCTACCAACTTATATTTTTATATTTTCTTTATTTTCAACCCCACTCCCAAACCAGAATGATCCCCTTCCCCTACATAGAGGGGGAGATAGATTTGAATGTTTTTTCTCCTCCCTCCTTGCTTGTCAACCTGTAACAAACTCTGCTCCAAGCAGATGGGCCTGATCTTGTAAGTTCGGTATCTTTCCCCCAGGACTTTGCTCCCTGCAGCCACTCCCAGCATCCCTGCCGGCCTGCACTGAGAACCCACTGTCTGGACAGCAGCCCCCAACGAAGCCGCCTACCTTGGTGCGTGGAGCACACGACTGTCAGTTCCCGACTCGCATCCCCAGACCGTCTCACAGGAATCAAAAGCTCCCCCACAGCCTCCTCAACTCTGTATTCTGCTTCTGGAATATAAACTGTTGATTCTAGAAAGACAGCAGAAGCTTTATTAGCAAGACTTAGATTTGATTGGAGACATTTTGACCCGAGTCCGCAGGTGCATTCTCTCTGACCTCTGCATTTTCCAACAGGGTTTCCTGCACTGAATACAGTGACACAGAAGTGCTGGTAGCCGGGGTTGGGCGGGAGAGGCGCTGGGTGCAGGAGGCCCCCTTTGAAAGGTAAGGAAGGATCTCTCACTAAAGTGCGAAGGACAGCCTCAGAACAAGTCTGTGTCTCTTTTTGTTTTTTGAGGTCAATTTTATTTTATTTTAATTTTTTAAAGATTTATTTATTTATGCACACAAGAGCTGTGGTGCGGGCCAGAGATGAGGGGGGTGAGAGGATCCACCAGAGACAGAGTGGGGAGCAGAACAAGCAGACTGATGAAATACACTGCTGAGGGGAGCAGCGGGCGAGACAGGAGAGGTCTGCTGAGCCATGTGGGTTGCTCCATGGCTGGCCGGGGATGGAACTCGTGCTGCAGTGGCTGCAGATTGCTTCATAGTGCGGTGCTTAACCCCTTGCGCCACCAGGGAGGCCCTGAGGTCAAATTTTATTTTTATTTTATTTTATTATTTTTTAAAGATTTATTTATTTTTTATTTATTTATACAAGCACTGGGTACAGACAGAAGCACGGGAGGGTGAGAGAATTCACCAGAGCCAGAGCGGGGAGCAGAGCAGGCAGAAGGACCGAAGCACACTGCTGAGGGGAGCAGCGGGCGGCAGGAGAGGTCTGCGCGCCATGTGGGACCCTCCTCTGGTGGCCGGGGAGCAGCCGGGGATCGAACCGGCGCTGCAGAGACTGCGGGCAGCTTCGCAACCCAGCGCTCAACCGCTGTGCCACCGGGGAGGCCCCTGAGATCAAATTTTAGATCTAAATAGAGTTTGCATATTTCTGCACTTGATGGACCTTTACAGTTTACTTATAAATGCTTAAACAATCAGGAAATTTAATTATTAATACGGAAAAATCTTTCATAGCTCTCTTGCAAAAAACATCCAACATTTATTGTGCTGATATGGTATAAGAGAGTATGCAGGCCACTTACTATGCTGAGAAAAATAAGTGACTGGCCTAACCTTTAATTTTAAAGCAGTTTCCCAACGACATTTACTGAGCTGTGTGTGGGTGTGTGCACATTTATGTAAATATACATGCATATAGTATGTAAATATGACTATACATACATGCCATCGGAACATTCACTGAAATATGAATGTGAATACTGGTCTTCTCTTGTTGATGGAATTATGTGTATTATTTTTCTTTGAGATTTTCAATGTTTTCTAAGACTTTCATAAGAATAGATTGTGTACATAAAGCACATGTGTTTGTTTAAAAAATAAAATTTTATTTGAAGTGTGTCATTCCTACTCACAAAGTAAAGTGATATCTAAAGTTACTCGTGGAGTCAAAACACATTTAATTGCCTTGGTTTCCTCCCCATCATATATATATTTATAATGTTTTTCCTTCTTGCGTCTGTCACCAAGCTGCCCTGAGGAGTCACCATCTGGGGGGATGGTAGCACTGGACCAAGAGTTTGGAGTGTGGATGTGCCACAGGAATGCCACAAAAACCCTACATCAGTCTCCTACAATCCTTTTCAAAAATCCCAAGAACAAAGGAAAATCTACGCCCTCGATGTAAATTCGCTTAATTCAAATCCTAAGTGGTATGAAAGTGTCCCGTGGCTTACAGAGCCTCAGGGAGGTGTCAGGCCTGAAACGGGCCTCTGGGTGGTAGGTCATAGCAGCAGGCACCACCTACCATCTCCAGGGTCTACAATTTCAACAGTTGCCATTTCCGGAAACTCCAGGGCAGCCATGAGAGGGTCCAACAGAAGGATCTGGAAGGTCTCCGAAACCTCATATTCATTGTCAGGTAGGATTCTCACTCTCCACGTGGCTGCGGTCTGTCCAGGACTGAACCGGATGGGTTTCTGGGTCTTTTCTTTAAAATCTTTATCTTTTTTTGCAGTTTCGTCTTTGGTTACAATGCCTAAATAAAAATCAGAAACTATTAACACAAAGCCAAATGACTGAAGGAACAGTCTCCTTTCCCAGGGGAGTCTGTTGATGAAAAGCAAATAACATAGAAACTGCTTCTTTAATGTTCCGAAAAGACACTTGCAAACTATCCCTCCTGTGTGCCAGCGGAAGTGTGCGGAGTAAATGTGCTCAGCCCCCAGAAAGCTCAGAGTCTAGCTAAGAAGACTCTAAACTGTGAACAATGGAAGTGAAAGCCCTTGGCTGCTTTGTTCGCTGGTGAGTTCCTGGCCTGGTAGCCCGCGGGAGGGTTCCATCGTGAATACTTGATCTGGTCATTGCAATTCCTGCTGCCTCTGGGAGAATAACTGCAGGTCATTTTCTCACTCAGATCTTTACTTATGGAGGCGTTAACCCTTTGGTGTTTGTGGATTTTTGATTGGGGAAAGAATCACTAGCAATTTTTTCAATTAGGGCACCATGGGTGGAAATGGAGAGGTGAAGACAGATTTGGGTTCTGTTTGGAAGTGACTTATTGGAGGGGGTGAAACAACCCCACAAGAGTATTATAAACAGCCAGTGTGAGGTCTGAGGGTGAAAGGTGCTACCCCATCAAGACTGAATAATAGACCCTTCATTGCTGTGTGCAATGCAGCACACAGCATTGCAGCAGCATTTGGGTTGTGTCTGGTTGTGTCTGGTTGTGTCTGGTTTTGAGTGTGACTTGCCAATGAAGTTGGTGAAGTTGGTGTCTCATGCCTTTAGGGCTCATGACAAGGCTTCAACTCTGCAGTTGTTTCAATATGTGACATCAAATAGGCCCTGACACCAGCAATTGAAAATCTTGACCCCAAATTAGATAGAAGTTCCCTTGTGCCACTTCTTCTTTCTTATTTTTGGAGAACTTGATGTCCTGTAAAAGGCCCCCAAAGCATGAAAATAATTTCCAATGTAGAAGAGCTAGTGTTGACTCTTTTAAGCAGCTGGAGAAGGCCTGCAGCAGTACTTCTTGATGGTGGAAACTGAATAACTACCTTTGAAGTTACATGAGTCACTCAGGCACCTGTTGGAGTGGGCAGAGGAAGGGGGAGTGGAGTCCCCAACCACAGCTAAAGTCGAGCGAGGCAGCACTCTGTTTAAATGGAGTGGCTGTGTGGCTATTTACCAAACTTTTCATGGCACTGGCTCTGGGGCGCTGGTTGAGGTGCTGAGGATAGACTCTGTATTAGGTAGAGCTCCTCTCACCCTCAGAAGCAGCCAGAATTAAGCATAATAATGTATTGTAGATGTCAAAGCAATTTGAAAAGAAACAGTGGCTTGAGGATTCTGGTATATGGCTGTGAAATACTTAAACTTTTCTGGAGTCTCTTGAATTAAAAAGAGAGAAGCAACGCAACCATCATAAAAGGCACAGCAGGAGAAGAAGGATGAAAAATCAGTGTGTGGATTTTCCATCGTCAACACCCAGTCCAAAGTTACTTACTGATGAAGGAGGCTTCTCCAAGGTATCCTCTGCGTGCGAGGCTCACTTCTAGGAACACAGCGTCTTCATCCACAATGTAGTAGGGCTTCTCCAAGGAAATCCAAGCCCAGTGTAGACGGAAGGGCTGATTTGTTAGCTTATTTCCCCCTGCAATTGAGAGAGGAGGGAGAAGTTGGAGTGTCTGATGGATCAGTGACTGGGGTTTGCATCTTGCCACTGAAGTCAAGGGTTTCAAAATAAGGTTTCTCTTCATAGAGAGAAGAACAGTGCTTTGCTTTTAGAGAGACTTCCCTGAGTACCACCTAAACCTGTTCTCATGTGGACGAGCCAGGTGCCTCTTATTCCAGCAAGGCCTTATGCACTGGGCTTCCAAAGAGCCAAAGCTTGGTTAGCCCTGTAGTTCTCCCACTACTGTAGCAACTGTGATGCATCGCCACAGCCCCCAGGGCTCTTCCCTCCCCTGTTTTGACCCCTCTCCCCACCGTTTTATGCCTCAGATCAGTGATCACAAAGCTTGGTAGTTCTAAACTCAGCTCTGCTCAACACCCCATCCTTCCCACCTGCCGCTGTTTGCTCTCTCTGCCACCTACTGCCTCCGCTTCCCTGCTTATTTTTATACTCTTTGTGTATCTATTTGCTCTCACATTATTCTACAAGTTCCATGAAGACAGGCTCTCCATTGTATTTATTTTATTACTATGAGAATCTAGTATGGTGTCCTGAACTCAGATGCTCATGTGCTTAAAAACTGCCCAAGAAGAAGATTGACAGAGCAACAGGACAGCAGGGCTTGTCCAATCTCCTTTTGTCTACAAAGCTTGGGTGGCCTCCGTGGGCAGAGGGAGCGAAGAAGGCCGCATGTGGGCAGTGCCTGAGCACCCACCATGAGCCGAATAGGAACGACGCATGTGGACAGAGTCGAGTCACCTGCCCAGCGGGACCAGTGGAGGACACAGGGCTGCGCAGGCGGGGCTGGAAGCCGATCACCAGATTCCCACGGCTGCAGGAGCAGTAAGACACCAGCACCTGCAGGTTGGGGCCGGGGTGTCCAGAGGCAAGAATCTCAAGGAACTAACAAAAACACCAACTAAAGAAAGAATCACCTTCAAGTAACTGCCCCTCGGGGTTCCCTGCTGCAGAGGCAACAGTGCTCCCCACACCAGCGCTGCTGTGTCCCCACCGCCTTTCTCCTGGGTCCACCTGGGCAGAAAGAGCAGAAGCCTCTGCCCTCCCTATAGCGCCAGAGAAGGCTGAACACAGAACAAGTATGAGATTTAATTATTACTTGAGACGGAATTCTAGTGACTAGATTAACCTTGTGTTTTTGATTCAATGCACCCATGAGATATTTTTATTGGCGCAATCGGAAAATTTATGTCACCTGCCAGTGATCCATGTAGGAGGGAGGGAAGAACCTTTCTTTGCAACTATCACTGAATAATGTTCAAAGGACACATAACTGAAACCTGGTTACATCGCGGCTCTTGTTTATTCCGCACACCAGGACTCAGCGATGTGCAACTGCAAGATAAATGCCTATGTTGCATTTCATGTTTACTCTCCATCTGTCTTCTCCCTCTCCTTGTAAACATAACATTATTGATGTTGTGGTGTGTGTATTCTGATAAATAGAGCAAAATGTAAGCAAATAAACCCACCAGAAATCCTTTTACATTATTAAAAAAAACATTATTGGTTTTGTTTCCAGTTTGAAGGAAGCCACTTTCATTTGTTATGTATATGGTCCTTTGGATTTTGAAATCATGCATTAAAATAGTAGTCATCATTCTAATGGAAATATAATGATGTATTTGATATAGGATAAGGAGTGGGTATTTGGGCCCAATGTGCAGAACACAACGAATTAAACCAAGGGGCCATGACGCTCTGGTTTTGGCTGCTTTATAAAGATGAGAAGAAAGAAAATAACTTCAGGAATAATTTCTTCTGTTATTCCATGTCTTAATTATTTTGACTATTCTATTGAGTCTTTTTTGTTTTGAAACGCTGCCATTGCGTGTCCTAGTATCTGTAGACCAAAGCCCCCTCAAGTTGTTAAGTATTTACTTCCTTCTTTCTGGAGGTGAGAAGCTGAGCTTCCACTGAGGTGACATATACAAGGACGCATGCATGTTCTTGAAAATGTTCAACGAAGTGTTCTTTAGCAAGATGTGCTGTTTCTAGGCATGACAAGGTCACTTTGGATGGAGGCCTGCACATCTCGCCTGCCCTTCTTTGCCTCCTTTCTAACATAAGCTGCTTCCTTTCCAAACAGGTTTTAAATACATACCTCGTTTTACACATTATTAGATCAGTTACTGAAAGGCTGAATATAATTTGCTTTTCTGTAACTCCTCCAGTGTTGCAGAAACAAAATTAAAATCCTTAGGATATTTTATTCGACAACTCTCATCTGAAAGAACTGTAATTTGTAGTATAGGCCGAGTAAAATTATAAGCATTAGAGTAGTAATCTGTAAAACCAACCCGAAGATAGTGATCTTTTCAAATTAATTTAAGTGCTTTACAAAGTTATTTAAAGTTTATGAACAGTTTTCAAATCTTTTCTAGCCCCATCAACGAAAAAGAAATAATTTGTTATTCAAAGTTCACGGTGATTGAAGGAAACATTAATATATGTTTTTTCTCCAAGGACACCTTGAGTGATGATCTGTATCTTATAATTCCCATGGAAAGCTCCTGCTCCTATTTTTTGTCTCCAAATAATTCTACCAACTTTCTAATCCTATGCAAAGTCCTTCAAGGTCTTTAGGTTGATTAGAACTAGATCTTAGTGCAACGGAATTTTCTTATTCAGTCTTGGATTTAGTATTTTACCTTCTACTCAATTACATGTGGTCATTTACACAGAGGGTTAGTTAAAACTTTTAGGGATCACAAATTTCTTTGGTCTATGACAGCAAACTTCTCCCCTCAAAATGTACATATTCACCAAATCTTACATGCCGGAGATTTGATATTCCCGGGATTCACAGAAACACTCAGCCAACCTATGGATTCCTTAAAGACTCTGTGTTAAGCTAAGAAACTAATTATGTACATAAATTGGCTACAGGTTTCCAGAGTAATGAATAAGTTCAATATTTCCCTAGTGAAATTAGCCATAATGACTTAGTTAATATAATCATCACGTACTTGAGGAGAGGAAAGAAAATTCTTAATGTCAACCTACAGTCCATGAAGAAGGGAGGATTAAGAGGCAGTTATTGATTATATTTCACATAACTAAATCTTCAAGTCACCCATGGAAAGCACATCTATCTAAAAGTAGATCTAAAAATCAGATCTTTTGATTGCCAAAGTACTTAAATACATTGACCACAGACAGAGTATCCTGATCATCTGAAAATGTCCCAGGTAAATTTTTAGGGTTTTTTTTGGATCTGATAATTCTCATGCAGGAACATTTGCTGCATCCCTAAACTGTAGAAATCACTTATCAATCCACATATTAGTGCTATTCTACAAACCATGCTTTGGGAAATGTATCCCGATAAAAACATTTGTTTTAATCTGTAAATCCTGTATTGGGAGATGTTATGAGAGATTTAACTATACAATACTTGATCTACTACACTGTGTAGTAAAAAAAAAAAAAGAAAGAAAACATGTAAATGCATTCTAGAATTCTCTTATAGTTCTAAGTTATATTCCAGAATTCTGCAGAATGATTTACTAAGACAATTAATTACTTAAACCATCCATCTAATTATTCCACAAAGATTTATAAAGCACCTGTTATGAGCTGATGACTCTTCTAAGTGTTGAGGACAGAGAAATGAAGACCCCCCCAAATCCTGTTCTAGGACAGAGAAATGAAGACCCCCCAAATCCTGTTCTCATGCGATATACATTCCAGTGGGGGCAAAGTAATCATGTGTAGTAGGCTTGGTGGTGAGAAGAGCTACAAAGCAAAATAATCAAGAGAGTTTCGCAAAGAGTGACTGGGGGAGGGAGACGGGACTATTTTTGGTAGAGTGGTTAAGTTTAGCTTCTCTAAAGGGGTGCTCTTTGAGAGATTAGGAGGAAGAGTCTAGGCAGACAAAAGAATGAGCACAAAATAAGTGTGTCCAGAGAAGTAATCAACATTCTGTCAGGACCAGTATCTGCTTGGACTTTTGTCCCTTCTGATGCCTTTTCATTCCTTCCTGTCAATCCGTCATTAAGAAGGGATATTAGCTTCTGCAGACCAGTAGTGGTGCGTATAGCCGCTTAGTGAACTTGCTCTTGTTTTCTCACTATCCAGCAGATTTTAACTCTTTTCTATGTTTGGAGAATTTGATACTGAGTGAGTTCCACCTTCACTAGGAAGACACCAGAATGCATTTTGCAGCTTCCCTCACAGGAGAGGCATAAGGGTGACCTCTGGACTCTGCTGGCAGCCTGAGACCCTGACTCAGAAGTGCACACCGTGGGATGCAGGTGTTCCCCAGGGCCCAGTTTGGTGACGATAGCAACAGAGGCCTCTGACTTTCTCTGGTGTTGGCGACAGAGGCCCAGTGACCAGGGACAACTGTGCAGGTGTGGTGTCTGTGCCTAGAGACAGAGGCAGCCCATGGAGTGTTCTCGCATCCTTTCTAGGATCTAACTGGCCTCCGGGAGATACTTTCCGAGCTTTCTTCTATCCCCAAATGAATTTCTTTAGCTAGAGTAGGTTAGACTCAGAGTCTGGCTGATCCACAAATGAATTGTTTTGTCTTAGTTGAGGTTGTAAAATAATAGGAATGCACCCAAACTAGTTAGAAAAATAGTGGATTTTTTTCTTTTTTCCTTTTTGGTGGAAGGCAGAGAGGGTAGGTCACATAACCCAAAGGCAGGGAGCTCAGCTGGATTTCTCAAGAAACTGAGCCCAAAAAAATCTTTGTGTATTGACAACTACTGCAAGGCTCCATCCCCTAGGTCCACATGTCATCTTTAAAGGCATCGCTCTGGACATTGACTTTATTCTGTATTTTCTGAAGACTCACCAACCTGCTTCTCCATGCATATGACCATACTCAGCCTGAGTCTGCTCTTTAATCAAGTAATCAGCAGTGACAGAGTACCCTCTGAACATCTCCAAGGCCACCCCTGGTCAGCTACCATGCGGTGAGCGAGGCCTTGGCTTCAGGGTAAGGTTGAGAAGGA